TATATATATATATATATAATATATTTGATGTAATGGGTTAGAAAAGAACATAACAAGAAATGAACACAAATGAGATTAAATATTACAACTGCAACTTCGTTCCTAAAAACCTGTGCCTTTCATGTAGGTTTAAAGTGGATTTTCTTCCTTATTTTAAACTTGATGTCACAAGGATGTGTTTAAATGTGAATAAGCTCAATGAATTTCTCAATGACTTTTTCTTTCATTGAACAGAACGTGGTTTATAGTAAAATTAGCAAGTTTTACATTTAAAAAGAGAGAATGCAAGCAAGAATTTAGTTTTTTCACTCAGAATAAAGCACAGTTATTGTAGTGAAGGATTAGGGCAGTTCTGTATATATATATATAGTTGAACAGTTGAAGTTTCCTTTTTTAAATATTTCCCAAATGATTTTTAACAGAGCAATGAAATGTTCACAGTATGTCTGATAATATTTTTTCTGCTGGAGAAAGTCTTATTTGTTTTATTTCAGCAAGAATAAAATCAGTTAAAATCTTTTTTAAAGCCATTTTTGGGACAAAATTATTAGCCTCTTTAAGCTATTTTTTTTTTTCGATAGTCTAAAGAACAAACCATTGTTATAAAATAACTTGCCTTATTACCCTTACCTGCCTAGTTAACCTAATTAACCTAGTTAAGCCTTTAAATGTCACTTTAAGCTGTATAGAAGTGTCTTGAAAAATATCAAGTAAAATATTATTTACTCTCATTATGGCAAAGAGAAAATAAATCAGTTATTAGAAATAGGTTTCTAAAACTATTCTGCTTAGAAATGTGTTGAAAAATCTTCCCTCCATTAAACAGAAATAGGGGAAAAAATAAACAGGGACGCTAATAATACAGGGGGGCTAATAATTAACTATATATATAACATACAGTTGAAGTCAAAATTATTCACCCTCCCAATTGATGTTGAACAGATTCAGGAATTTTTCACAGTATTTCCTATAATATTTTTGCTTCTGGAGAAAGTATCATTTGTTTTATTTCAGCTAGAATGAAAGCAGTTTTTATGTATTTAAACCTATTTTAAGGTCAATATTATTAGCCCCCTTAAGCAATATTAGTGTTGGATTGTCTCCAGAATAAACCACTGTTATACAATGACTTGCTGAATTACCCTAACTTTACCCTAATTAACCTAGTGAAGCCTTTAAATGTCACTTTAAGCTGAATACTAGTGTCTTGAAGAATATCTAGTGTGATATTATGTGCTGCCATCATGGCTAAGAGAATAAATCAGTTATTAGAGATGAGCTATTAAACTATTATGATTAGAAATGTGTTGGAAAAATCTATGTTAAACAGAAACTGGGAAAAAAATATATACAGGGGAGCTAATAATTCTGACTTCAACTGTATATAGACCACCAGCTACCCATCGTCTTTTAATGCATAATAAAGCCACAAGTTTGGAAGAGCATGACAGTAAGTACATGATGACGGCATTATATTTTGGAAGTCTATCTGTTCTGAACATGCAAGTAGTTTTAACACTGTGGGACGACTCGTGAGAGACTGCTTATTTAGATTCACCAGTGCCGATGTTGAGCACAAGATTACTAGATGCTACTGTGCGGTCTGGATGTGTGAACGCCGGCATCTATTCTGCTGTTATATAAATCTGCTCCTCCATAACATATGCAGGATCTGCAGCTCCAGAGAGACGGAGAGAGGAGGAGCAGCACAGACACCAATGAGAGAGAACGCAGACGAGTCCTTTAACAGCCCTCGGCCCAGCAGAAATCTGGATATTTGACACCCGCTTCATTCATATGTGTGACAGAGAGGTGATGCAGACAAATAAAAACAGTAAGAATATGAATTATTATTCCAGTCCATTGCTTTTTCATGATTGCTATCCGATTTGTGGCTCTTTTGCTTGAGTGTACTATTGCATTTTAATAAGTTGCATGTATAAGCACAT